ACACTGCGGAGAGAGCCGGAGTCAGTGATGGAGTGAGTGAGTGAGTGGTGAGATCTTGTGTTGTGTGTGTGAATGAGTGAGTGAGTGAGTGAGTGAGTGATTGAGTGAGTGAGTGAGTGAGTGACTAAGTCTCTGGAGACTGCTGGGAGTGTGAGTGTGCAGTGAGTGAGTAGTGAGTGGGTGAGTGTGAGTGAGTGAGTGAGTGAGTGAGCGAGTGAGTGAGTGAGTGAGTGAGCGAGTGAGTGGAGGAGGGGGCGAGGAGGACGGAGGGAAGGAAGGAAGGAAGGAAGGAAGGGCGGATGCGGGCGCGATGGCAGCCAACAAAACTAGAACCCCACACAGAGATGTGGGGAAATATAGTTTAGTTAACAAACATACATTTTAAAGGAAATCTATTTAAAGAACTATTATGTTATAACACCACTAAAAATCATAAAACAGCGCACTCTGACAAACACCCGGACTCTTTAGAAACAGGGTTCAATCAATGATACAGGATGAGAGAGTCTCATTTGTATCAATCTTCAACATATTAAATTGCATCTAAAGTCATTTGAAGTCATTACACTGAAAGTGACTGTCTGTTATTGCTGCAATGGTGAAGCATTCAAGTCGGGTGGCTTCTTCAGTGGCTACGCTGCCATACTACTGTGGATTGATGTCCATGTTGTCTTCTAATGCCATGACTCATGGTGCCAATGCCAACGGAGTCAAGGTGAAAGGCAAAAAGAAATCTAGGGACCAAGAGAAGAAGACAGTTGAGTCACTTGACAATTTGACTGCCGTAACTACTGCTACTTCAATGACGTCAACGCCTTATGATTCAACTGGCAAGTTGGAGATGGAGCAAAAGGAAGTGAAACTTCTGCAGCTCTTCCGCAAGGTTTCAATGTATGGCCTCGATGACTTGGGTCACATCTTTGACTTTCAGAGGTGGGAAATTAAACATGCTTATATCACGTTCAAATATGTTCAAATGTTTCAAGTTGTGTCAGGCTCAATTCAAGGACAGCAACTTTCACTGCTATAGCCCAGTTCAGTTCACACCTGTGATGGATTTTTTGGTGTTACTGTTCATGACTGTGCTGTGTGCAGGGTGGGTCAATTGGTGGATTCATCAACAAGTGAACTTTTGGAGCGATTTGAGAGTTTCCTGGACTTTGATTCACTTCATGGAAGTCAAGCAGAGCAGCACTGGCACTCGATCCTCGGGGCAGTCTTTCCAGAGCTTCAAGAGTTGAGTTTGAAGAATAGGCTGGCAGCATTGATTCAGTGTGGCAAGAGGAACATGGCCGCTTCCAAGTTCACTTTTGTGGAATACTTCAGTGGCTGTGGCAACTTGACCAAATCGTTTCTGGCACAAGAACATTTGGGAGCAGCTTTCGATTTCAAGTACACTTCGAACCATGACTGTTTGACAGTTGAAGGATTGCGACTCTGGTTTGCAGCTCTGCTGAGCTGTGGTCCAAAGAGCTTCATTTGGTTTGCAATTGAATGCAGTTCGTGGGTACCACTATGTTTGAGCCAGAGCTTGCGACACGAGTCCAATGGGTACCTTGGCGACACTTCCAAAGTGTTCATTCAAAATGGAAATGCACAAATGGTGGTCAGCTCACTGTTGATGTTTGTGGCATGTCTTTTGGGGCACATTGTGAGTCTCGAGCAACCGCTCAGTAGCGTGTTACCACTTTGTGATCTCATGGACACAGTCTTGAAATTCATTGGCGTGTCCAAGACGGTTTGCTACTTGGGCGCCTACGGTGCAAAATCCGTCAAGCCTGTGCAGCTTTAGTCAACGTCGTCTGGATTGGTGGCCTTGGAAACGGGGAAACCTTCATGTCCAGAAGAGCTTGCTCAGAGAGGCAATGATGGTCAATACACAGGCAAGAAAGATTTGCTGGCAGAACGTGAGCAATATCCTATTTTGTTTTGCTCACTCCTGGCAGATTTGTTTGTCTGTGGACGCTTGTGAGCACACGTGGCAGTTTAATTCAAATGTTTAGGTGCTGGTTGATAGAACCAGTATTTGCATCACTGGGGTGGAGTGTGAGTGAAAAACTGATGTCAACTCACTTCTTTGGAGTTCATTCTTTATCATGTCAATGTCTTGATCCACTCCTGGGAGCCCACTTTGATTTGCACTTGTTCGGAAGTCTGCTGGAAACTTAGGCTTGCAGACTTTGCGCAGTCATCTCAGTAACAGAGCTTTGAAATGAAACACCATTCTTAGTTTGCGTGCATTTTGACCAACTGAGGCAGGAGTCATTTGACAAGTGACTTTTGACAGGTGATGTGTACTGGGTGGATGTTCAAAGACTCTTATGTAAACAAACGATGTTTTTGTTTTCTTGACTGGCAATACCAAAGTTTAGGGTCACAAGAAAACAAAACCATGCATAGTAGTACTAAAAAGTTTTATGAGCTGGAACGTGTTGCTAACAAATTAAAAGACATTGAATTTCTCAATCAATTCAACTTTAATCTCGAACAAACATACTTTAATCTCAAAGACCCTTGTCTACTTGACAATGAATCAAAACTGTATACCTCAGTAATATAACCTAAATTAGGGAAAGGTGACTGATCTGGCCCCTGCTGATCTAAGTGCTAGATTGGTTCAAGTGAGATTTCGTGGCAGGGGCGGCGCTTTGTGAACCTCAAGATGCTGATGCCATGATAGGTGGCATAAGAATCTTTCTTTCTGAGAAGCAGTTGTCCGTTTGATCGAACACAGTTTGTTTTTTGCGATGATCGATATGTGAAAGAACAACGCAACGATCAACGCAAAAAAATGGATCTGGTGGATGCTTTGCTATTGGGGTTGTCTGCTGGGTTAACTGGTTTTCATACCCCGGTTTTTTGCGGGGGGCTGCAGCTTACAACCAACGGCCGACCAAGACACATGATTGAGGGCTAGCACCTTGCAGGACCCGCTGCTTCCTCAGAAGAGCCTTGGCGCAATTCAGACAGAAGAGTGCCGAAAGCTCATACTTATATATTTACTTGTAAAATGACCGCACACGGTTTTTTGCAAGTGGTATTGTAGCCTCAAAGAATTGAGGTCTTCTAGCAACGGTTATTCTAGCAACGGTTAATGCCCCCAAGCAGGGGCCACAAAACAAGACAAACCGCGCATAGACAAACCGTGCATTTCTGTACAGTATAAGAACCAAAAGGCAAGGGCTGAGAACACACACTCAGAAAATTGTACGTACGGTCGGAACGCCGCCAGCCCTGAAGATTTGGTTAACACGGAGAACCTTCAACTGCGGGCTGCGCAGCTATACCAAAGAAACACAAAGCATGCGGGGGCATGTGTGAACGCCTGGACTTGAGGGGGCATATGGCAGTCTTGCAATATTGCGACCCCAAAGCTTTGTACAGTAGGCTTCGCAACTTGCAGGGAAAGTTCACCCCATTAAAAGACACAAGTGTGTAACCTTTGGAATCACAAGGTGCCTTTTGGCATTTTATTTTTTGGTTATTGTTTTTCTGTTTAGCAGGCAGCACGTTTGAAACGTGTTGCTTGGTCTGATCCAACGAAGAAACTCCAGCCATTCGTCGGGATATGAATCCTTCTTCCGTTGTGACTTGGCTATGCAACTATGAGTGATTCTGCCCTTCCATCTTGAAAGTCCTTTGATTGACTCCCACTGCATTATCGATTATCATGCATTATCAAGCACCACTGGGGGTCTTCTGTAGAGAAAGGTAAGGCAAAAAGGATCAAACGGGCACCTTTATAATGATTCCAAAGGTTACACACAGAGAGATCACATCTGTGCGCAAGAAAGTGCGAATGAAAAGACGTAAGGAAAGGCAAAAAAAGAACGCTAAATGTAGGTGAGGGTGAGGGCAATGCCGACGCACCTGCAACCGAAACTTTTGGCCAAGCTTTTCCACTCCTCGGTTTTGCTTCCATGGTGGTTATGCGTGCTATACCCCGAAACAGGTTTCCCTCCGCATTGCGCCTGCTGATCGCCGCTGTCGTTGAGCGCTTTTGCAACATATGTTAAACATTCTGTTGATCGCCGACTTTGCCACCTTTCCGTTCCCTCATTTTTCGTGGAACAGAGTTAACTGAAAACCCAATGACTAAGTGTGCGTTTGCAGATCAAAGGGAAACCAGATGGAAGGGAACAAGCCTTGCCTCGTTTTGTGTGCAAATGCGCAATGTGTGCACATGTGTGCACTAAGTGTGGCAGATACCACTCGGCACTTGGTCTAAAAAGATTGGCGGCCGGTGTGGCCTATATTGAGCCTTGTCAAAAATGACGGGTGAGACTCAAGTCTGCTATGGGCTGCTCTTGACCAAAAGGTTTGCTCACGGAAACGCCCAGTTGCTCGTTTCACTCGACCTTTGCTACAAAGTTCTTCCACCCGCTATATGGTTTGGTCGTGTTTGGTCTGACATATAAATAAAATAAAGAAACCAGCAGTAGAATGCAGCAGCAGATTCTCATGAGCGGCTCCCCAAGAAAATGTAACTTACATTTTTAAAGCCCAAAGTTGCAAAAAATGTAGCTTACATTTAGACAGGTCCCCCCCTTAGGGGTGGGGATATTGTACGTGGAAATGCGGGTGTTCTTCTTGTCAGCCACTCAAGAAGGATGATCCTGAGTGGCTGAGTGGCTGACAGTGAAGATTGTGTAGTCGTCGTCGTGGCAAGCGCAGCACTTGCTTCAAAATGCAGATTTCGTGGCAGGCGTAGCATTTTGTAAACCACCAAGTGTAGATTTCATGGCAGGCGCCGCACTTTGTGAACCGCGAAGTACATAGTTCTTGGCGGGCGCAGCTTTGTGAACCTCGAAGTGCAGATTTCGTGGCAGGCGCAGCACTTTGTGAACCTCGAAGTGCAGATTT